CGCTGCTGGTAAAATAGATGAATTGGCCGGCTAAAATATAACCGTATACAGACATCCTGATTATAAAATTATGTAAAAAAGCACGAATTCTGGAATAAACAACTAAGTTGTAAAAAGATACATAACACTGACGATGTCAAAAATAGTGGCCGGCTGCGTACTGATCACGTGACAATGCTTTGCCCAACCCCGCAATGCGCCTTTGCCAGGGAAGGAGGCCAATTCACATCTAATACAATGACCGTTTCCAGACCAGAGATAGAGGGACTGTGGGTAGAGGTATGGAAGATACTACATCTATAAAATCAGACCCTTGTGTCTCATTAATGATGGAGTTAGGTGGTACTATGGTTGAGGTAAGTAAGATACTACATCTAAAAAAGACTCTTGTGTCTCATTAATGATGGAGTTAGGTGGTACTTTGGTAGAGGCAGATGGTAGATTTAGTATTAACAATATTGCCTATGCTGTATTTCTGCTGACTCAATCAATGTTGACCAACACCCACAAATCCTCATGGTAGCCAAGCAACAAGGAAACTCAAAACTCATCTGCTATTAGGACATTATTTTTTCAAGGTGTTCCAGAAAACCATAGTAACATGAAAATGATAATGTTATCTTTCAGATTGGCAGAACTGATCAAATCAAGAACAGTCTTGATCCAGACTTTTCTAAACCCCTGGTAGTAGATTATATGTTTGAAGAAGTTCAGAAATTGGTGTTTAATGTGTATGATATTGATAATGAAACTGAGAAGCTTTCTGATGATGACTTCCTGGGACAGCTTGAATGTACATTGGGACAGGTATATTTACTACAAGTAACATAGTACACATATACGGTTGTTGTAACAACACTGAAATGGTTGCTTCAATCTGATTATAAGCCGATGTAGGTACATGTATAACATGCAGACAATTTTATAGCCAATTTTTTTTTAATTTCCTTATTTTTTATTGTTTTTTGTTTGTTTATTATCTACATTGTATCTTGTAGTTAAAGTGATTACAATATGACATATATAAAATAATGAAAAACCAACACTGCCATATTGGATTCAGAGTTGATTCTATTGTCAATTAATTTAGCCCTTGTTAATATTTTGTTCAACCAACATGATTAAAATACCTATCTTTTGCATTATGCAGGTGGTGTCAAGTGGTACCTATACAAAACCATTGTGTACTAAGTCTGGGAAGCAAGCTGGACATAGTACTATCACTGTATGTACACACATTAATTCATTAATTGACTTTACTGCATCAATAATTATTATTAATATTAGTATTGTGTTGCATACTGGCACTTTTTTATCTCTCATTCCCTCTGTTTAATGATTTGATTTTTTTTTCAGATTGTTGCAGAAGAGATGTCTGAATCTAAGGAAGTTTTGAATTTGAATTTCAGAGCTCACAAAGTGGATAAGAAAGTAAATATTCAAATATAAACTAAACACTTGTAGATCTGTCATTTCAATAATAATTTGCAATTTGTTTGTTATTTGATTAAAGATATATTCAGTGCATTAACATAACTGTCAATATTCAAGCTATAAGAACTGTTAAATTTTTTAATGATAACTTTTTAAAATTTTCCAGGATATGTTTGGAAAATCAGATCCTTTCTTGGAATTTTTTAAGGCTGGTAAAAACCCAGATGATTGGATCTTGGTTCATAGAACAGAGGTAAGTTATGGTGTACAGTACATGTGTGATATGATATATCATAGTATGACCAGAATTTTACACTTTTGAGACATTTAGTGTGAGATGTGACTGCCATGTTTGAAAAGTGCGTCTTTTTATTTGAGATATACATAGTTTAACATCAAGTTTCAGCTGTCAAAAGTTTCACAAATTTCTCCATATGAGCACATGTGTCTGTGTGTGCTTCTGAATTTACAATGACAGTGTGTTCAGGCAGAAAACTTTGAAATGAACTATGAACTTGTACTACAAGAAATGATAGAATGGAAAGATTCAGCTAGCAGTGAAATTACCAAACTGTCATTGCTTATGAATAATTCAATGCATACCATGTGACATTAAAATAAGCATTCTAATGCATTTATTTGCGAAGAATATGCAATTATTCAGTTATTTGTGGCTCTACCTGTTGTGGTTAATTGTTGTTATGATCGTGCTTTGACCAAGTAAAGTTTATGAAAATACACCAAAGTTACCTTCAAATAATTATTTTTAGCAGTGTAGAAAATAAGACATGTCTTTTCTAATAATGAAATTCCCTTTTTGCAGGTCATCAAAAACAATCAAAGTCCAACATGGAAGCCTTTTGCTATATCTGTGCAGTCTCTTTGCAATGGTAACTATGAAAAACAAATTAAGGTATTCATACTTTTTACTTCCAGATTTTTGAAAGAAACTATATTGTCTATTTATAATAACTATAATGTTTATTATCTACATTATCTATATTATTTAATTATCTATATTGCCTATTATTGCCTATCTATATTATCTATAATAAATGGGTGGAGTTTTCAACCATAAGATAAACCTACTAAGTATCTGATGGTATATTACAACTAAATACCGCTGTTTCAATAACTTTCAAAGAGTATAGGGAGACACTACATATGTACTACATTACAGTACCTGGCAAAAATCAAGATTAATGTTGGATGATGTTATTTGTTTATAAATATATAAAATTACAATAGAACACAAATTGAAAACATGTAGTATTAGATTAACCAATCTAAAGCTGTGTTACAGATTCTGTGTCATGATTGGGATGATGATGGATCCCATGATTTGATTGGTGAGACCATGGCAACAGCACAACAAATGATTGATGGAACCAGCGGTGGTAAAGAGGTAAACTCTCTTAGTTTGAATCAAGAAATAATTACCATTAATTCAGTTTTATACTTATTTTCATACCAAATTTAAGACATATAGTTTACTGTAGAAGAAATGTCATTCTGAGTTATAACAATAATAATAATAAATTTATTGTTTCTTAGAAATGCAATTTTCATTGCTTGATAGTTATAAAATTTCAAAGTAATAAAATATACATATACATAAATACTAATAAAAGTAAATTTCAGACATTGCTATTTCTGATTTCAAATATTTTGTATAAATATTCACCATCATGGTTTATGTCTTCTCTTTAACTCATACCATAAAAACTTGACCTCCTAATTTTGGCTGATTGCAGAATTGTGCTGTTTTTAGTTCTCTAAAGTTGTGGTCACCTCAGATTTGTTAATAAACTAGACCATTGAAATGACAGTACATAATTGCTAGGGACACTGGAAAAATCTTGCACACTATAGACGTACACACAAAAATAACTTACTTTCTTTATGTTTCAACAGCACGGCTTATTACCATGACAAGTGTTTCACTCTTCTTTAGTTTAGTTACATTGACTGCATAATCTGAAATGAGTTATTGTGATTTTATCTTTTAAATTATGTAAGAGATTATTGTGACTCAAAAGTGTACGAGTCTTTAAACTTTATTAAAGTCTACATACCCTTGTTGGATATTGTATTGACAATATATTGTTTTTCCAGTTATTGTTCTTTCTTAAACTATGTTATTTGATACTTTCTCAGGTTGAATGGAAGCTTGTTCATCCCAAAAAAAAGGCAAAGAAGAAGTCCTACGTTCACTCTGGGTTACTCTATCTTACTAATCTGAAGGTACTTTTAAGAATTAGTGAATATGTTGTACTCAATGTGTACATTCATTTCATTTCATATCAAGTGTTTGCTTATATGCACATTGCTTCTCAAAGAATTAATGTGCATGTTTTTTTATCTTAACATAATTTATAAATAGTAGGTTTATAGAGAAGAGTTTTTCTTAACATCCAAATGATACAACAACTATAATTCTGGAGAAGTCAGGAAATCTAAAGTTAGTGCGTGCAGTACATTTTCGCAATAATGATGCATTTCCTTGCGCGAATACTTTATATTGTATTGTTAAAGAGATACTCAGAGATACTCAGGTAAGTTAGGTTAATCTTGTTAAAACATTTCTACAATTCAGTAAATTGGTAAAATTCCTAAATGTATGTTGTGGTTTGGGTAAATTTTACTAAGTTGTAATAATTCTGTTAAGCCAAGTTAGTTATCTCCCCGTCGTTCACATATCATAATCCCTAATGCATTAACAATAGTTTTAGGAGTCACCAAGTTCTTAGTGTTGATAAATCAACAATATGAATAAACTGTCTTTCAAAGCAATGTCAAGTCATTCTGTCTCATACGTTATGATCTTTCAAAGATGTTTCATAAATGTGCTTTTCATATCTTCTTGACTTTTCAATTATTACATCTCAACCTCGTGTGCTCATTCTCATCAACGAACATGTAAACATGATCTACTTTGAACTTGACAATGCCAGCCAATTCTATATCTAATTCATCACTTATTGTATATTTCTTTTTACAGAAAACTTCATAAAGACGTAGCCCCTAGCTGCATCACTATATGTATGCTGGGACACAGTGATATTTCATAGTTTTAATCACAGTGAAGATCTGTTTAATTCGTTTCTGTACTACTGTATTATAGAAATAAATAAAAAATAAATACGTGGTTGTTTTTATTTTTATGTAAATTTGAATAACATTTGTACATGTGTAGAGGTATTTTTAAATGTCTTGACTTATAGACTTAATGTTATTAATCAAAACTTTTGCTTTCAACTGCTAGTATAGTAATAAATTGAAGAATTCTACATTTTCATAAACTGTAAACAGGGCTGTATTGTTCTAGTGTTCCTTCTCAGCACCCAGCCACCCAATATTTGTTGCTATGTAATCAGAAAAAAAAAATTTGTTTGAATACTTTGATAAATAGCGCCCTCTATTGATGCTTGTTGACTATCCATTATAAATTGTGATCCAGTAACATTTAACTGAATAGTGGATATTCAAGGAACTAATTAATATTTATTTTAACATTTCTGTAACAATTCCATTTGTTCATAATTCTGCCTCATGAGAGATTAACAACTTTTGCATGAAATCCCAAACCTAATAAAAAGAGAAGTCTATGCTATATATAACATAGACTGGCAAAGTTGGGACTTCTTTGTTTGTTTTACAAAAAAAAAATATAATTAATTGTTAATTTGGCCTTTTTAACGTGATCATGAAAACTAGCGTTACTGTGAAAGGGGTGATTTCGCGGCGAGTGAGAAATACATTTAATTAAAATTGACACCAATGTTTGAAAAAACGCCCCGACTGGCCAGTCTAGCTATAATAACTAGTACCGGATTTTCAGTTTGTGTTTCTCAAAATTGTTTGACCTCATTTATTTATCTCATGGCTGGTTTGACCAGCCACTGATACAAGAGGTTTTTGTATTCCCAAAACAAGGATGATGTGGAACAATCTGTAAAATAACAGTGTTGTATATATGGTAACCTTTTCTTCATATTTAGGTGTTCAAGACACAAAGTTAACTTCAGCTATTAAGTTTAAACATTTGAAACCATAACAATACAGCAATTTAATGCACTATCTTGGCCTTAACGATCAGGGATGTACCATTCTGCTAGGACCAATAAATAAAATATAGAAAATAGTAGTAGCGGGTATCAGTAATCATAGTCCTTGATAATTATTTAATATAACAAGATGTTTTGGGTAAAGTACAATTCTACAGTGGATAAACCAAGGATGTAACATGGTTGCTAAATGTCCATAAATATGAGTATTGGACATCAATCAGGCACTGTTGTAAAAGTATCTCAAAATTTCCTAAAAATTCTCCCATCAATGAATGAGCTACTGTGGTTTTTATCTTAATCTTTACTTAGGACATGAGTTTAGTTGTTGGTATAAAACCAGCCGTCAATGGAATGTTCTAGAAATTACATGATTACACATTGCTTTATAATACCGTATCTGTCTTCGCTAGCCAAGGTTTTATTATTTGGTCATCACCGCACCATTATACCTTGGCAGAATTCTTGATGAATTGAAACAACAGTGCATGCTTTGGTGAAATGGAACATGAAGTCAAATGTTATGACATGTTGTGAAAGGAAAATTTTTAAATTTGAAATTGAAGCTAATTGTTGTTACAAGAATGACGATTGGTGGATCCAGCTCCTAAGCACGCCCAATCAAATCATTCAATTTAACGGAGGTCAAATGTAGCTTTTCTTAACCTGGTCACGCACAGCTTCATAGAGATGGCCATGCTGATGACCGGCTTCAGCAAATCCATGCGAATCAGATCGTGAATAATAACAGGAACTTTACTACTAAACATATAAGTTGAGACAAATCCAGCATCACCTTTTAAATCAAGATTTGTAGTGAATGTCAGATTGTAACAATTTATGTACAAATATATTGTGCATGAAAATACTAAATTGTGAATATATCTTTAGGAAATACAAGTCCTCCACAAATAGATCTAACAACATCGCTATATCTGCCATCATTAAGCTTCTTATCATGCACTCCATTTGATAGTTTGTGTATTGATTTTATTCATTGCTCTGTTTCCCCTCAGGCCATATCTGCAATTATTATCAGCAGTTATTGATCAATCGCTCACATATCTGTAGGGGAATCTTGTTTTCTGATATTTATTGATGGAGGCCATATATTCTGCCTACAATCTTGCATCCCTATCTAGGGAATAACGTCAGTCCCTCCTGACCGATTGTTCATGGTCGCCTCACCAACATGATAAATACTATGGCACTGACTTCTGACCTATAGGCTGAGGCTGATATCAAGGATTATCTTCTCCAAGTGGCCATGCTCGAAATCCTTCTCATTTGCAAACCCAAAACAATTTTATTCAAGATTTATATTGAATATTTCGATCTAAATAGATCATATACATATCAATAAATCTGATGAATATAAGTTGCCGGTGTCAGACATGATGTTGTTATATGCTCTCGTTTCTTTGTCCAGTTGTTTTGAATTCAGAGGCTGAAATCAACATACCGGTAATAATGATATGCTGCAGACCAATTAAGTCACTATTGATTTTTCTTGCCAAGATTCAAAATGCTTTGCTTATCACATAAAGAAATCAATTCAACCACATTTTTATGCGAGGTGATAAAATAAAATAGCCCCCTCTGGAGGCGATAATGATGCATGTATAATGCTCAAAACATCTATTTTGTATCCTAAAATTAGTTTGCTCAAATGAATTGAAACGTTTGGTATCAGAGAATATGTCTAATAATTCTGTCAATCTTTCATGAAAGTAAATTTGTGTGTGTATTTTGTAGCACTGAACATTTTATTTGAATTTGTAAAGAGAAATGGAGAGCATTAATGGATTTTATTGGGGTCTTGGGACTATTGTGTGGCATTTCTGATAGTCTTAAATTGTGGAATATCTGCTATAAACATTCATATTTCCATGCAAGTCAGCATGTCTGAATGACATGTATCTTGGCTATTTGACAGCGTGTTCAAAATTCTGTTGCTAATGATTCACAAAGATTCAATTTTGTTCTGAATTACTTGTTTTTTTCTCAGCTCAAACTCAGATTATCACATATCATGAGAGTGAAACAAAGTTTAACAGCAAATATTATCAGTAATAAGTATATAATTTCCATGGTAACTCTTTGCACACATACCGAATTTGAAATAGAACTTCTAGTTTTCCAGTCAAGGTCAAGCAATTTAAATGTACTGATGTGAAGATCTAGATTATAATATAATGTTATTGAAAAAACACTCAAGTATTGCATGCATCTTCTGTAACTAAATGTTTTATGTGTATTAACCACAGTGTAAACTGTTTTCATGATCTAGATCTGATAGAACCTTTCACCCCCCCTCCCCCAATTGACTCTTGGATGTCAGTCTGTCTTCATTCCATAACTACAACACGACATCAACATCAAGGTTATGAATTCATATTATTGATGCCAATCTCTGTCTTAATAGCAGAAAATTTTAAATATTGTTCAAGCTTATTTTGGAGAGATTTTCGGAAAATAATTATTATATATAATACAGTTAAAATAGCTCATTCACCAATTTTTATTTTATTTTATCTCAAGACCAAAAAAAATATTTCCTTCTAATTTGTTAACAATATAATATGATCATTTATGAGATTATTTGCATAATTATATTTTTACAGATTACTCATGAATATTCATTTCTTGATTACGTCCTTGGAGGATGCCAAATAAATTTTACTGTAAGTAGACTGTTATATAGGAGAATAGTTTTACAACCGTTATAGTATGTTGCTGAATAAAATAACAATGTAACAAGATTTAGTGTGATGAATGATACCTTTTTGCAAATGTAGCAATGTTAAAAAATCTCCTTCTAAGTCTTATTTGTGCCGAGTAACCACTCCACATTGTGCAGTAAAATTTCATCATTTGAGCAACTTAAATTTTCACTTAATGTGGTATGTTAACATTTCCCAGATAAAATAGTAGAATTTCTCAATAGACTTAGAGAGAACAATGCAATGATGTGTATTGTATTTAATGATATCTTATTTCATATGAGGCAAGATATGTTGAAATAAAACTGTTAAAATTATAATTTTTGGCAGTCAAGAACAGAACGAGAAAGATAAATTGGAAATGTTCATTCTATTTTCATCTTTTGTTAGGTTGGTGTTGATTTCACAGGTTCTAACGGAGATCCAAATGACTCTAGATCGCTACATTATATAAATCCAGGTTATCCTAATCAGTATGCGCAAGCCATCACAGCAGTAGGCAATGTTATACAGGATTATGACAGGTATGTTAGGATGATATAATCTCATTATTGTTAGCATCTTGACCCAATAATGATCACTTAGTGATATGAATAATTTAGCTGTCTTTTATGTACAAACTGGAAACTGCTCTAATTCACGTGAGAGATGAATTTTCACAAACTCAAGAGTATCATTTAATTTTGTAACAGTTAAAATCACATTGACTTCCATAGAATCGCACCAAACACATTCAAATAGTAAAATTACTGCCAACATATATATATATATATATGGTTAAATCACTGCCAACACCATCATATGTTGAATCACTGCCAACACCATCATATGGTTGAATCACTGCCAATACTATTGTATGGTTGAATCACTGCCAGCACTATTATATAGTTGAATCACTGCCAACACCATCATATGGTTGAATCACTGCCAACTCCATCATATGTTGAATCACTGCCAACACCATATGGTCGAATCACTGCCAACTCCATCATATGTTGAATCACTGCCAACACCATCATATGGTTGAATCACTGCCAATACTATTGTATGGTTGAATCACTGCCAGCACTATTATATAGTTGAATCACTGCCAACTCCATCATATGTTGAATCACTGCCAACACCATATGGTCGAATCACTGCCAACTCCATCATATGTCGAATCACTGCCAACACCATATGGTCGAATCACTGCCAGCACCATTATATAGTTGAATCACTGCCAACTCCATCATATGTTGAATCCCTGCCAACACCATCATATGTTGAATCCCTGCCAACACCATCATATGTTGAATCACTGCCAACACCATTATATGGTTGAATCACTGCCAGCACTATTATATAGTTGAATCACTGCCAACTCCATCATATGTTGAATCACTGTCAACACCATCATATGTTGAATCACTGTCAACACCATCATATGGTTGAATCACTGCCAGTACCATTATATGGTTGAATCACTGCCAGCACTATTATATAGTTGAATCACTGCCAACACCATCATATGGTTGAATCACTACCAACACCATCATATGTTGAATCACTGCCAACACCATCATATGGTTGAATCACTGCCAACACCATCATATGGTTGAATCACTGCCAACACCATTATATGTTGAATCACTGCCAACACCATATGGTCGAATCACTGCCAGCACTATTATATAGTTGAATCACTGCCATTTCCATCATATTTTGAATCACTGCCAACACCATCATATGGTTGAATCACTGCCAATACCATTATATGGTTGAATCACTGCCAGCACTATTATATAGTTGAATCACTGCCAACACCATCATATGTTGAATCACTGCCAACACCATCATATGGTTGAATCACTACCAACACCATCATATGTTGAATCACTGCCAACACCATCATACATGTATGGTTGAATCACTGCCAACACCATTATATGTTGAATCACTGCCAACACCATATGGTCGAATCACTGCCAGCACTATTATATAGTTGAATCACTGCCAACTCCATCATATGTTGAATCACTGTCAACACCATCATATGTTGAATCACTGCCAACACCATCATATGGTTGAATCACTGCCAATACCATTATATGGTTGAATCACTGCCAGCACTATTATATAGTTGAATCACTGCCAACACCATCATATGGTTGAATCACTACCAACACCATCATATGTTGAATCACTGCCAACACCATCATATGGTTGAATCACTGCCAACTCCATCATATGTTGAATCACTGCCAACACCATCATATGTTGAATCACTGCCAGCACCATATGGTTGAATCACTGCCAGCACTATTATACAGTTGAATCACTGCCAACTCCATCATATTTGAATCACTGTCAACACCATCATATGTTGAATCACTGCCAACACCATATGGTTGAATCACTGCAAGCACTATTATATAGTTGAATCACTGCCAACTCCATCATATATTGAATCACTGCCAACACCATCATATGTTGAATCACTGCCAACACCATCATATGTTGAATCACTGCCAACACCATTATATGGTTGAATCACTGCCAACTCCATCATATGTTGAATCACTGCCAACACCATATGGTCGAATCACTGCCAGCACTATTATATAGTTGAATCACTGCCAACTCCATCATATGTTGAATCACTGTCAACACCATCATATGTTGAATCACTGCCAACACCATCATATGGTTGAATCACTGCCGATACCATTATATGGTTGAATCACTGCCAGCACTATTATATTAATTTCAGTGAAACCAATGAAAATAGGGGAACAAAACTGAGAACATACAAACTATTCAAAGTAAGCTATAATATGGAAAATTATTTGCAAAACATTTCAAATTTCAGCCTCAGGAAAATGCTTTCAAAATTCCGTCTGAGTGACCACAACTTAGAAATAGAATTAGGTAGAAGAACAAAGCCCAAAATAGAATTAGAAAATAGACACTGTAATAAATGTAACACTAAAGCATTAGGAGATGAAAAACATTTCCTGCTATTTTGTACTGGCTATATAGAACAAA